TGAGAATTTTAATCTCACTACACTTGCCTCAGTTCTCATGGCTGTTTTCCATTCTGTTTTCTTTATTACTTTCTTTTTCTTCCTGTCATTCTTAGCTTTCTATTTTTCAATCCCAGTTTGTGAAGGGTGTGGGTTCAGAAGGGTTTCCTTCAGTTCCCAGTCCCCTGAAAGCATGAGAAATTGCCCATTGAGCCAATTCTCACAGCAAGGTATAAAAATAGGAGTAAAGAAAAGGTTACACAATGCTTGGATTGCAGCAGTTTGTACTAATGGGGAGATTTCAAAGCCATGGTTTGAAAAACATTTTTTAAACCTTATCATTTCCGTTAATTTTTCTCTCCCGAAGCTATGCTTCAGCTGCAGGAACTAGCGTTACAGATTACTTGAAGAATTGTACTGAAACACAGGAGTCCAGCGCTGAACAAGTCACGCAAAGCTAGAGAGAGACCACTAATTAGTTCTCTTTAGCCATAATGAGTGACTTGTTTGAGAAGCCTATCCTAAGAGTTTCCAACCAGATGCTTTGGTCTCTGCTATTTAATAAGTGGATTAAAAGTTAAGTGGATCTAAGGTTATTTTGCCATTGCAGCGGAACGCAGGTACCACTCAGGCAAGCCACTTGCTTGGTGCCGCAGACTGACGTTGGCAGTGAGCAGTACCTGTGCTCTTGCAAAGCAGAGTACTTCACTGTAATTCAGTCTTGCAAACTTTTAAAGAAACTGAAGGTTATCACTAAGATTGTATTCACATGCTTTAAAGTTTCCAGAATTGTTTCTGAGCGTTGTCTTTCTCTACTTGCAAAACTAGCTGAAGCAAACAGCCAGCCATTATCTTACTTCTCTTTATTGACTTAAAAGGCTTATAGTTATATGAAACTTATTTAGCGTGGGATTTTGTTTGTTTCTGATTTCCTTATAATGAGACAGACCTCTTTGGCATGTTAATTATTATCAAATCGAAATGCTGAACAGTACTACTGATATAATTTCCAAAACAATCCAATAACTTGATTGTAATAGCAGTGTAATGCTTTGCTAATGAAATGTCTGTATTAAGCCACAGAGAGGAGCATTAACCTTGGATTAAAATCAGAAGAGAAAATCAAGCACACTGTGGTAATTTTGGTCTTGTTTGCAAAATTGTTTTGTGAAGATGATGATCAACTAAATGCTGTATTTAATGATCTTCACACTGATTACATCATGCACTTTTGTACTAACTATTTTACTTCTAACCTTTTTTTTTCCGTTTGTCTAACAGAAGTATGGGTTATTTGGACATAGTAAAACTTTTTTTAAAAATAAAACATCTCTTCTGTTTTGCTTCCACAGAGCATCTTGTGTGTTTGCAGTGTTAGCCTGGGCACTGCTACATGGTAATCTCACATGTGAGAAGACTGACTTTTTAATTTCTGTGTTCAGTCTTTGCCAGGGAAGCCACCACCTACAAGGGAGCCTTTGACCCTTTCACTAGCAACGGTTGCTTAATGATCATTATAGCATCTTTTCAGATGATTCCCACTACCAAGGAGCTCTTGCTCTCATTAACTGCTCAAGCAAGCAATCTTTTAAATAGTGGAAAGAGGGACCAATCGTAGGCAAAAAAATAGCTACAGACAGAGGGCTTTGGTTTCTGTTTTATTTTGGCAATTTGGTTAATAGCAGCACTTATAGTAATCAGCTAGATAACAGGTGGATCTTGGCTGCCTCAAAAGGTACAAGGCATTAATGGTGAAACACATCCATACAAAAGCTGAAATCTGATTAATCAGAAGTCACAAAATATGGCATAAAACTGTAGAAATAGTTCTGAAATTGTAGAGGTTAATTCAGATTTTTTTAATTCAACATGGCGAGCACAATTTCAGATTCAGAAGGCACGCTACAATTGCCTACCAGATGCTGGGTAAATTAAGCATTTTAAAGACAGCTTGAGTGAGCGATTTCTGTGGTATGCTACTCATAGAATAACTTGGGTTGGCAGGGACTTTCGGAGGTCATCTAGTCCAGCCCTCTGCTCAAAGCAGTTCTTATCAGGTCAGGTTGCTCACAGCCTTGTCGAGTTGAGACTTGAACACCTGTGGTGATGGGGACTCCACAGCTTCCTTCATCAGCCCATTTCCATTCACATGGAAGAAGCTGCTTAGTCTTCCCATTCGCATAAATGTTCCCTGTAAAGTGAAGGTTTTGGGAACGGCACAAATCTTCTGACAGCTGTTTTCTGTGTGCCTGCTTAGTAATTTTTTGATTTGTGTCACCGTTTGGTGTGTGTTTTTAAACTATGTATTTCTTATTGTTGTTTTCTCTGTTAAAGGAGGATGTATGATGTGTATGAGCTGTTTCCACTGGCTTCCTAAATAAGCAAATTAGTTCATTTGATAATGGGGGAGGGTAGTTCTTTCTGTTTCAAAGGACACTTTTCCTTGCTGTGCTGTGAGCTCTGGCTTGAATGACTACACTAGAAATAGTTTCAAACTGAACTGCATAAGATGGATCAGAACATCTCACGTAGTCACATGTCTAATATTGACAGAGAGCCAAGAAGAGCTCAGTGTAGGAATGGCAGCTGCTTATTTTCCTATTCGGAACATGAATCTGTTGTAGAGGGCAGATTAGGTTAAGCTGGACATTGTTCACAAATGCTTATGGCTTCTCATGATGTGCCTGACACAAACCTCCTCCTTCCATATTCTGGAAACCTTTTTTGAGGATACGTCTCCAAGGTAGGACTCGGATTCCTTCTAAGCCATCCTCAGCAATACTGACAATTCCTAATAGGGTGGGCTATTTGAGGTCAGTATTGCCAACTAATTTCATGGAGATCATTTGGTGTTTAAACCATTTAAATAAAAGTCAGGAGGAAAAGGCCCTAAGTTTCCCTTTTACTGTTTACTGTATTTATTATGCTTTGTCAAATTCCTTTCATCCCTACCAGGAGTTTTCACTGCCTTTTGTGTAGGACTTGCCCTTGATGCAGGCTTGCTTGGTGTTTCTTCCAATTGGTCTTTTCAGTCCATTGTTCACATTTACTGGTTTTCGTAATTGTATGCTATTTGTTATTGTTCAGCTTTCCAAATGTCTAAGGCATCTGAAATGGATTGCATTAGAGCAATGTGGAGAGCAAAGTTCCATCTCCTCATGGTGAAATGCCCAGCTCATACAGGCACCTGTCCCTGCGTTCTATTATGCTTTGCTATATGATGCTGTCTTTCTTGGACTTGTACTCAGTTTTTTACTGTTCTATTGTCTAATTCTGGGGAAGGGATGAATAGAGATTTCTCTAGCTGAAACTAAGGGACAGCATTTTGGACAGCAGCATGCAGCTTCTTACAATTGATGGTTACTCTCCGTAGTTGTGAGATAAAAGAACTGGGCAGTTTTCACATTCAGAAGTGAAGTCAGGGGAAGGCGGCTGTCTGTGTTGCAATGTCCTGGATCACTTTTGAGTGTGTGCTTTTTATGCCACTCCCTGACCATTCCCAGATGTGCTTAGGTAACCAAATCTATCAAGACTGTGATCTGGAGCTGCCAGCCTGCAGGCAGCCTGTTCTGGTTAAGTAGACTGTGTTTTGTTAAATTTAGAACATTGCACAGAACACAATGCCAATCCCCTAACTCTCAGTCCTAGCATACTGCAATTTATATTCTTTTGATGTGTTTTAATTTACATTTTAATTTTTTTTTTTTGTCCTAATAGGAATCTCCGCAAGACAGTGCTATCACCCGAGACATCAATCGAACGTTCCCTGCTCATGATTATTTTAAAGATACTGGGGGAGATGGCCAGGACTCCCTGTACAAAATATGCAAGGTATTCTTTAAATTCTACTTGACTGGTTTTCCTAACTTTAACAGCATTTAACAGATGTAACTGTTACTTGGGAAGAATGTGCATGTCTTACTGTTAACCATATCATGGAGGCAGACTCTGGCACTAGACTCAGCCTAGTTCAGTTCTCAACCTAGACTCAGTTCTTCATTTCAGATGTTTAGCTGGTCATAGCGCCATTCAGATAGGAGACCTGAAGTAATATGCCTTTCTGGATTCCTGAACACGAAGGTGTTTGGTACCGAGACTTCATGTGATTACAGACATGTCAACTTGGATCAAGCTGGACGAATGATATGCTATGATGGAAATGAGGGCTAATTCCATACTGATCAGAAACAGCTCGCCTTTGGCTGCAGCATGCTCCCTCGTTGTCAGTATTGTCTAAGTTGTGCGGGCAAAGTTAGGGACACATGGAGGAAATCATGCTGCTGTTGCCTCTTGAAAAAGACGTGTTCTGATGTTGGGTGTGTCCTTTCTGTGTAACGTACGCCATAAGCTGCTGTCATTATATGTAGTTGTCTTTAAAACTGGGGATAACTATGTACCTCCCATAAACGTTATAAAGCCATAGGCATGCTTTGAAGTTGCTTATTAAAAGGAAGAAATTATCAAAAATGGACAGCTTGTTGTTGTATTCAGTTATCTCAACTGGAATGTTTTAAGCTTCCAGTACTCTTTCTTTTGTGTTCCTACTGTTTCTCCCTCTTGCTAATGTCCCTGTAGCACCTGTTTAGAGGTAAAAGTACTCAGATAAGTGGTTTAATAGGCTGCAGTGGTCTTGGTGCATCACTGTAACCAGCCACTGCCACTATATATCACAGTTCGATTTTCATACAGGTTATCCCTTCATTAGAATAGTAACTGATGCACCTTGCGAAAATTTTAGGGAGCTATGTTCAGTGCAGTGTTTTGTTTTCTTTGTGTTTGTAGCTCAAGACAGATACGCTGTAAAGTCTTGATTCTTTTTTTTAGGCCTACTCTGTCTATGATGAAGAGATTGGTTACTGTCAAGGCCAATCATTTCTTGCTGCTGTGCTGCTTCTACATGTAAGTGGTGGGTTTCCCCCCCCTCCATTTGTTTTAAGGTTAAGACTAAATATTGCTCCACTTTGCCTAGAACAAATGTTGGTAACTCCTGTACCAGGGTTGCAAGCCACATATCCACTTATGTTGGTCAATAATAATGTGATTTTAGACAGAGAAGACTATACTGTTTAAAACTTACTGTGGTATTTGTAACGACTCTTGTCTACAGTCAGTGTTCATGTCACTGTGTTTCTGTTTCAGGACCCCTTCCATTTGAAACACTACAGGCTTGTACTCTTGGTCGCTAGTAGGCATGGAATTTGTGTATAAGACAACACTGTAAATGTTTCTGTTAAAGGGTGTCAAGGTCAGATGTAAGCTTTTTAGAAGATGTTTCTATTAGAATCAGTCAGAAATATGGATGGTAATTGCCATGTGTCTTGTATACACAGAAGTGTATTTATGACATTGATGGCCTGTCAGTTTATTAGGTCTCAGTGCTTTGAACGTAGTATGCTGCCTACGTGGGCTACTGCATTCTAGGCCTTTGTGCTTCTTGGTTTGGGAGGTTAGTGAAGGATACAATAATATTTTATTTTTTTTAAAAGATACTCAATTAGGCTTTTTTAAACTTTGTTGTTGGTAGAAGGGATCTCATCCGACTCATATCCTTTAATTGCTTGCATGTTCAGAAGATAGAGAGATTTATGGTTATTGTATGTCAGAAGCAAAAGTTTTAGATTCACTCGCGCTTGGGAAATATGAGAGAATTGGAGATCTGTACAAATTATTTATAGGCCGTTCTTTTTTAAAGAAATGTCTGCTTTTTTTCAGCGTTTCTGTTGCAAGCGTGGGTAGTTGAAACTGAACAGAGTTCTGAAGTCCAGTAGTGTTTTGAGATTTTTTTTTTTCCCCCCAGCTACTTTTTAGTGATTGTTGCTACCAGAGAGAACTAAGTATGAAGACTTCCCTGCAGTTTTCGGTGGAAAAGGAAGTCTGGTCTTCAGTGGAGTATTTCCATAACGTTGTACAGTTAGTGGAGGATATAGAAGAGATTGTAAACTCCATTCTTTTGAAACAAAAGCCAAATGATTAATGATAATAATCTTTTAGATCTTTGTAACTGTAATCTGAAATATTTACTTGATGAGCAATTTATTCTGTATTACTACACTAAATCAGATCAAGAAGGGTGATACTTTCTGAAAAGAGAACTGAACACTTTTACTGAAATAGACGTGCTTTCTTTTAGCTTTTTCATTGTCATATGTCCATTTGTTTAATATCCATTGCATTAGAGAGACCCACTATCAAGAACGAACTGTGCATTATTCTAGAATTCTTTAACAATAGCTGTTGCTTCTGGGAATAATGTATGCATTTAAAAAGGCTAAATTTCAAAGAAGTTTTTTTTTTTTATTTGATTCTCTTTGAAGTCCGCCTTTTGAGTGTGAAAAATAAAGATTAAAAAGAAATGTTACAGAAAAGGAAATTAAGTTTCTCTGAGTCCTTCACTACCAGTTTGGAATGGCTCAGCAAAGTTTTCAGTTTTAACAAACTCCATCTGCAGATTAATAATAGAATACTTGAGATGGATGTTCTGTCCTTTACAGGAACAAGTGATTGACCTGAAGTCAGACTTTACTGTGGAAGTATGAAAACTGAATTTTGATGTCAGGGAAAAATGTCTAAGCACTGATGAGCCATGATGAGTGTTTCTTCAGTTTTTGGCAGGAAAGGGATATTGAACTTTTCCCAAACCAATGCTGAGTTGTGATATCTGGAACTTTTGTTGGCAGTTACTGGTCTGTCTTATTCATGCCATCTAATACAAAAACAAACATCAAATGTTACAATGTCATTTGAAAAGGTAAATAAAGAATAAGGGAAGGATCCTGTTTAACATCGTCTAGTAATACTGCTTCCGTCTTTGTTATGTAGGTGACGGGGGTTAGGCTGTTCAAAATCTGTAGGATTCTGTTTCTGACATGATTTGGAACAAAGACACCAAGAAACTGATTTGGGCTTAACACCTGAAAGATGTATTTTTAGTTGGGTGATTGGGAGGTGGTTTATTCCACAGAAAAAAATGAAACACCATTTGCAACACTAGACCTCATTTTGTGTGTTAATATTATTTACTTTTAAACTGGATAGGGCCAGCTTAAAAAGTAGTGACAATTTGTTTTTTCTTATAAGAGGGAGAAGGGAGGTAAGGGCAAATGGAACTGATCTGAAAGATTTAAATGCTCTGTGATATATACACTTTCCTCTCTCACAGATGCCTGAGGAGCAAGCTTTCAGTGTTCTGGTCAAAATCATGTTTGATTATGGACTCAGGGAACTTTTCAAACAAAACTTTGAAGATTTGCATTGCAAGTTCTATCAGCTGGAGCGCCTCATGCAGGTAGGTGTTCAAACTTGCGTGAAGGGAATGGATCAGAGCCTGCAATTCAAAACTAGCTGTCTATCTTATACGTAAATAGTGTTTGTAACCTCTTAGTAAGGATGAAGTGTGAGGACTACCCATATTGGAGGTTTTTAAAGAAGAGAGAATGTTGACTCGAGACCAGTCTGGTGCTGCTTACTGTGCAGCAGTAAGATTGAAGGCAGACGTGTCTGACCCGTTGGAGTGGCTCTTGTGTGGCTTGGCACACCAGTGACTTTGGAGCTCACTGCAGGCACACTGCAGAGTGGCTTTGCAGTGTCAGCACATCCACTGGCTGAGTTTCCTGCGAAGGTGAGAGCTTGGAGGTTGAACCCATTGCGCATGGGATACAGTGTCCTTCTGAGCATCCACGTCGGGGCAAACCTTCGGCATCCGTAGAAAGTCCTTTAGCATGTCAGGCAGCTGTCTTGTCAGGCATGGGTGGATACAGAAACCTGCCTTGCTGCACAGATTGTCACTCTACCCTGATTTTTTCTGTCACTTTGGGATTTCAGCTACAGTTCCGAAATAGTATAAATTAACTTTCAGTATTTGTGTTGTTTTTATCATTAGGAATACATTCCTGATCTGTATAACCACTTTCTGGACATTAGCCTTGAAGCGCACATGTATGCTTCCCAGTGGTTCCTTACACTGTTCACTGCAAAATTCCCTCTCTACATGGTCTTCCATATTATTGACTTACTCTTGTGTGAGGTATGTGGTATAACTGGAGACTTGTACTGCTAGCAACTTTGACAGTTTCTCACTATCTTGATTCATGTCCTTGTTACTATCTGTTCTTTCAAAGCTAGGCATGTGATAATTACTTTTATGTAGAATTCTTAACGTTTCTGCAATGAAAAAGAGTTCTCAGCATTTTAAAGATACAAATTAGGGATAAATATCTATATAAAAGATTATAATCTGTTTCTTATAACACTGTTGAATCTGTGTAAGATTCTGTACAGTGCTCATGGGATGAGAGTTAATATACAAATGGATTTCTCTGTTGTTAAATTGTATTATATCCAATGATAACTACTTTTTTCCTAGAATATTATTGCATGGAGGCCATTGTGTATAAAGTTGCCCAGCTAACTGTCATGCCGGTAATCTAACAAGCTTGGAGCTCTTTCTCCTGTTATACTTCACATCATATATTTAGAGAAAAAAATTATTGAGAGTTTCTGAGATTTTCTATGTAATCAAGTTTAGAACAGTATATTTGGAAGTATGCTGGTAAGTAGTGTAATTTGGGTCTGAGCTTATTAACGTAAGTTAACAAATCACATTTTGTACTGAAGCATCCCTGAGTTATTTAGTGGGTTGCTTTTTTACTCACTGGTTACGCATCCATTCTGCATTGGATCTGCAGGTGTTACTGTGAAGTGGCAGTTTGTCTGCGTTTCCTTTACTGAAGGGTTTCAGCATTCATAAATGTCCTGGTCAATGTTTTTACTCTGTATCTATCTGCTGCTTGCTTTCTCTATGTGCCAATGTACTAGAAAGCAACAGATGGTATCAAGAAAATCAGGTCTATTTGTTTAGAAATACATTTTAAATTCATAAATAGTAAATGTGTTCATAGTGAAGTTTTAAGGTCTTTTTATCATTTTAAAATAATAGTGAAAGAATAATTTAATGGGAAAAAAGACAGAATTTTGAAATAAGATGAGCAGTGTGTCTTGATTAAGAAGGTGTATGCTACTACTGACCATAGGAACTGTTTGTATTTAATCGGACAATATAAATAAAACACTTCTAATGAGTAGTGGCAAAATAGATGATGTGGTCTCTGTCCTAAAGTGAGTCACTTTCTTTTTCATGACACAAATTATCCCAATTTTTTAATACCATAACTGAATATATGGTTGTTTATATTGCTGCATTTGAATCCAGTGTTTTCAGAAGTTTCTATATGCAAATTAAATTATCTTGAACTGACCAACTGGTCACTAAAAAATAAAATACACAACAGTGCCTTCATAATTTCAGTGTTTTAAACTAGTAAGAAGATAGTAAAACCTGTGTTGAAACATTGTTTTGCTATCCATAATGGCTATCCAGTAAAGATACTTTCCTAATTGTTTGCAAAGTCATTCTCTGGGCCTTTGATTTAATATAGCACCTGGTGACATTTGTATCCTGGTTCTCCTTTTCACGGAAGCTAGACAAACAACAAAACCTACCAAATAAATTAATATCCAGTCTTGTAAATACTGAAAAATTAATTTATTTTGTCATTATTTTCTCTCCAGGGAATAAGTGTTATCTTTAATGTTGCACTGGGATTATTAAAAGTGAGTATGCAATGTTACATTTTGGTTTATGCATTATCACGCACCATATAAAAAAATTAAGATGCCTGTTACAAAAATATTATGTTTCTTTTTGAAAAGCTAACAACTTCCTCTATTAATGTGCTTGTTGCCTGGCGTGCTCTGTAGAGCGCAGTGCTTTTGGAGGGGGGTGGCGGGGAAATAGAAGGTTGCAGAAATAGAAACAAACACTATTTGCAGAAAGTTAAAAAGTAGTTATGTTCTTGGAGCTTTATAAAACTGCTGTTGCTTTATTATCCCTGGGAATTCAGTAATTGTCCAAAATCTGCTTGCAGTTACTGGCTTTTCTTTCCTTGTCCCTAGACTACCAAGGATGATTTGTTACTTACTGACTTTGAAGGGGCTTTAAAGTTCTTCCGTGTACAGCTGCCCAAGAGGTACCGTTCAGAAGAAAACGCAAAAAAGCTGATGGAATTAGCATGTAATATGAAGGTAAAGATGTGGTGCAACTGCAAGTGTATCCTTAATGGGTACAATTTCTGTCTCCATATGTAACTTTGCAACTCACTTGTCCAAATGCAAATAACATTGCAGGTGCTTTACAGTGAAATGCAATAAAGCCCCAAGATTTCTAGAGTGATATGGGCCGACTTGGAGGACTCAAACCCAGAGTTTTTTCAGTGCAATATTCAGTGCTACTAAAAATCAGACTACTTAAAAAAAAAAACAAAACCAAACACCAAACAAAAAAAACCCCCAAAAAACCCCAAACCCACTTAAGTGACCAATGGCACTAGTACAAAACAGTTGCAGACATCTCTGCGGTTCTTTGATGAGATCTTTCTCCAGTAGTAGCTGCAAACAGGGTAGTATCTTTCATTGAGAGGTAGTGGGGAGGTTTCATTTAAAACAGAGTGAATGGTGCAGAAACAGAATGTAATCTTTCAGACAGAAAATAGCTATTTTTAATTGTGGGTGCATGTGACTTATGTGCTGCAATAGGGAGCAAAAATACATTGATAGATTTACAGGTCTTCTAGGAATATGAAGGAATATGATTTGGCATTTAAAATTTCTTACAAGTTAAGCTAGGGAAATGACCTTGGGGCTTATGTATTCCCTGTGTGAGGTTTGGATTTGTCACTGCTTTATGGTGGGGGATGTATGCTGCTTTTTTAAAAAACATTTTAAGTTATTTTCCCATTCAAGACTATTTCACTTGCAGTGTAGGTAGCTGACAATAACATATTAATCTGTTATGATCTTTGTAGTCTAAAGAGTGTCTACTTTATATGAAACTAAAGTGCTGAGTTGTGTGTTGTCTAGAGCTGCCACAGTTAGCTGAAGTTTTTTAATAATGCAAAAAAGCATTGTTTTTTCTGAGCAGCCCATGTGGGAGGTTTACAGTATTGGCTTCCTTCTTGGACTTTCCTTTGGGTACTGGAAACAAGTGCTAAGACATTCGGGTTGGAAACCAAGCTCTGATGTACTGTATGGTGTTTGGTGTGCAGATGTTTCTGAACATGAATCTTTTGTAAGTACCTACTGCTTTCTGTGAGGGCGTTTTAAGGCTACCAGGCTAATCTAGATTGTCTTTCAATGTGGTCGTCACATCTGTTTGACTTCTCCCACAAATCATTGATTAACTGTTCATACAGCCAATGTTTTGGAAACACTGATGATAATTAGACTTCTGACTTTACATAACAGAAACCATGTATCACAATAACATATCATCTCTGGTCCTTATAGGAGGTTTCTTTTGAACAGAATAGAAACTAGAGTTTGGTGTGTACTGTTCTAAAACGGAACTTTAATAATTTACTTGGTGTATTTTAAAGAAGCTGTCATGCTTTCTTTACAGTTTCATGTAGATTAGTTTTTAGTCAACTACCTTGCTATGGTTCAAAGTATCCTTTTTCCTTGAAATTCCCCAGAGGAATTCCTTGTAGCATCACTGCATAAGTACACAACTTCCCTAATATGTTAATATTCAAGGCATCTTGTACTCCTAGTGTAGCAGTACGCGTAACAGTATTCTGCAGAGTTCAAGCATATCTTCTATGAAACTAGTGCAGAAATTACAGAGTAATCAAGACAGTAAGCTATTTTAGTTCTCCAATCATTTAACATTAGCCACAGATTAGACGTTGCACATGCATCTGGTTAAGACCATGTGTAATGAGTGCATTTGCCTTTCATGTTTCCGAACAACAACTCGTTCCTTTTCCCAGTCTGCCAAAATTCCCTGCATTCCCAGTGCTGTGTGAAGTAGTTAAAGCAAACAAGTCTTCTGTGAGTGGTGTACAGCAAGGTTGTCCACTGCTTCCTTGCGTGCTCTGTGTTTTGGGGGGAATTAAATGGGAGGAAGTACAGGCTGCACTACTGGGCTCTGCACAGATGCTGAACATTTCTGTATCACATCCATGTGTGTTGCCCCTGATGGGAGTGCTGCACATTAATTGCTTTCTTTGACCTAAAATATAAGCCCTTTGCTGTCACTAGAAATCTCCAGCTCTGTATCTGGAAGTGTTTTTGAGCAGAAAAGAGCCTGATGTCAAAATAAATTATTTATAGTACGGGAGAAGTAGCCTGGCTAAGGCATTGTGATTACAACAGCATTCTGCTGGAAAGCAGGTCAGTAAATGATCAGGTTGAGACAACACTAGAGTCTTAAAGTTACTCCTCAGTGTTGCAGTCAAATGTTAAGAGAGTTACTGCTGCCTCCTGTGCCCCTGAAAAACTGTGGTGGGACTTCAGTGTTCATTTCTGCTTTCTATCACCATGCAAACCCAAAGGCCTTGCTGGCTTCCCCAGGGCACGGTTCCCTCTAAGGCTCCAACATCCAGAATCAGCAACAATGGCAAATCTTCTCAGGATCACCTTGTTATTGGTATCAAGAGGCAAAACTGGATTAAGGTACTCAGAAAAGTAGAAGCTGAAAACACCGTAGTGTGCCTGCCTTCCTTTTCTCTCTCACATGGCTGGGTGCCTCAATTCTCAAGATCTAATCTTTACATAGCTTGAGATGTGGTGTATGAAACCAAATAATTTGGGGAGTCTTTCAGCAGGGGCATAGCAGTGAAACAATCTGCTGAAGTTACTGGCTTCATTGTCAGTAAAGAGTTAATGCTCTGCATGTTTGACTGGAGTGCTTAGTAAGAATAATTTCTGCAGTTGTGATGTGGCTGGACTGACTCCAGTTAAATGGGCTGGCATCTCCAAAAAAAATGTCAACTGAAGTACGGTGAAATGTTTCTGTGCAGCTCTCACTAGAGGGAGCCTAGTTACCAGTTTTCTACAGTTCATTTCAAGTAAGGTTGTTAATGATAAAACCAAAGATAAGCGAAACTAAACATGTTTTCCATTCTGCCTGTCCTTTATACATGTAAAATTTGTTTAACATGTTTCCCAGTCAAGGCTTTGTTAAAGAGGAAAACATAGCCATGGCTTTTTAATCTATGTGGCTTACTGAAAATAAAGGTTCATAGAGATTTAATTTAGATGCATACTAACTTGCATGTGAAATGCTCACCGTGGTCTTGGCATGGTCTGTGTTGCTAAACCGTTGTAGGCACAGCTGACAAGGTGACACCAGGAAAGATGCTGGTCAGGATCTGTTACAGGTTCTTTTGTGTTCTCTGTCCCTGTAGGACTTGAACACTGTGCAAAAAATATTGAATTCAACACCACCTTTCCGTCCCTTCTCAGAGAAGGGGAAACTGGGACCCTGAGAGAGTCAGTTTCCTAGTGTTGTGTGTCTGTCAGAGCTGAGGACAGAATTCCAGCCTTCTGAATCCTGGAGCATTAGGGGACAGAGCATATGTGCTTCCGAGCTGTCGCTGCTTGCCGAGGCATCTAGGCAACTCTGGGACTGGACTGTTTTCTACTGAGCTTGAATGACACCAGCAGAAATGTCAGCTGAGCCTGCACTTGCCCTTTGAGCATTTGCAGTCTCATGTAAAGTAAACCAAATACTTCTGCATGATGATAAATGTTGCAGCTGAAAAAGAAGCTGAAGAAACCTCAGCATCACGCTAGTTCAAAAATTAAACACATCTTGTGGGTTTCAAGGCAATCTATTATGCTAAGCCACTGTAGTATTTGGAGCATCAAATAGCTGTGCAGCACCAAGGAAAACTCAGGTAGGATGCTCCTGTGGATGCCTTTCAAAAACTCTTCTATGTTCCACAAAAGGACAAGAGGAAGGGATGCTTCTGTCATTATATTGAGTGGAAAAGAATTTTTGACCATGTCTAAGGGTTTGATACTCAAAATAGTGTGTTTTGTAGAAGGCAGGAGTTGCCTAAAGCTTGTACCATAACCCTTTGTGAATTGTGTTCTTTTGTTGATGTTCTGGGCAGGAACTAATGGGCTGCTTTAATTTAGATTAGCCAGAAGAAACTGAAGAAATATGAAAAGGAATATCATACCATGAGAGAGCAGCAAGCTCAACAGGAGGATCCTATAGAAAGATTTGAGGTAACGCTTACCTACTCCGGTCTGATTTAACACACAGTACCTGCAGGAAGTTCCTGCTTTGACTCCTTTTTCTTTGAGCTGTTTTCATTTTGTGACAAATTTGGATACAACAGGGGAATCAACTACATGAACGTGAAGTGAATCTCTATATATTGGCAATGTTAATCAGGACAGGGTGGTTGTGATCCCACCTTCACAATGAAAAAAAGGAATAGTATGAGTTTATATTTAGGCTTATACAGCTGTTTCACTAGAGCCCACTTCTAGCACTCGTGTAACAGGCTGATCAAAACATGATCAACAACATGATCAAAAGGCATGAACAGAAAGAAAATACTTAACTGATTATAACTCTGCTTTCCATTAATTATAATCCTGCCTTCACTCCTCTCCCTAATTTCAAATTATGTATGTTATGGTAAGTATATAATTTTATAAAGATTTTATTTATCAAATAAATATTATATAGGAATAAATTTTAAATGTAAAATTGAGTATGCATATACATGACACAATAACACACACCTACATACATAAATTCATGTATTTTCAGCTGAAGAATTTTATGTAAATTTTCTTTAACATCTGTCTGTGTGCTGGGAGTTGTTAACAGGAGGGAGAATAGAGTGGTTTTCCCAGGGTCCTCCTCTGTCACCTGTTTCCAGCATGCAAATTCTATTTTGAGCCAAGAAAATCAGTACTTGTAGGAAGCTCCTGGCAAGGTATTGATGGCAGAATGACACCCCTACTTTTGCCATCTTCAAAAACATTTCTATAGCTCAACAAGTAATGCTGAGCAGTTATTTATGTGTGGTTTCTTCTCAAAGCTAATAATTTGTTTGCTTTGTTTTATATTTACAATATGGCTAGCTAGTTTTGTCCACACTGAATTTCATGCGGGTAGAGTTGTCTTTGCATACTTAAGATACAGGGTAGGCATTTGTGCTTAGGCACAGTATGCATTGTGTTTTATAAACACCTGGGTAGACCTTTCTCTTGACTACTTTTGTTGTTTTCCACAGCGTGAGAACCGGCGCCTACAGGAAGCAAACATGAGGCTTGAGCAAGAAAATGATGATCTTGCACATGAACTGGTGACCAGCAAGATTGCTCTGCGAAAAGATTTAGACAATGTAAGACATGTCTTTATGCTGTCTAGTGGAGACAAGGTTCTAGGGCTAATTCCTCATTACTGCACTCATCGGAGAGGAGATACATGGAGTATTTTTTATTTGTGTGGGATAGGATTCTTTCCCCCACGTCCTTATTGCAGACTGATGATATATAGGCCTGTGCCAGAGGTCTACGGGAAACAGGACTGGCGACTGAAGTACTAATTACTCTGAAAAGCATTCACAGTAATTTGAGGGAGAGGAGAGGTTCTGAGCCTGTACTTGAGTAGTTGCTTTCTCCTCTATGTATATTAAAAGAAAGTCTAGCAAGAGCGAGTATTTGAATTGTCACAGAGATAATAACATGGATGCTGTGTTCTGTTTTCCTTCAACTGGTATTGTTATGAATAAGACCTCACAGCAGACAGGCTTTTGCAAAATGCCTAATAAACTTGAAAGTCTGAGTCTGTCTGGCTCTCAGTGCAATCAGGTTCTCAGGTACCTTAGGCAACTCTGAAAATGTTGCTGTGGTTTCTATTTGGCTTGTTGAAATCTGCCCATGTGAACTCATCATCCTGGGTTGCTTCCCCTGTCAGTAGGGCTCTCAGGAGGAAACTTTGGGTTTGCTTTGTGTTATGGGATTTGTTTTTTAAGCTTGCTGTCCCATTCCCTTCTTTAAATACTCATGTTGGGGAGATGTTATTAGGATATGCTTTTTTTTTTTTTACAGGACATGCAGAGACAGAAAGATACTGGTGTTTGTAGTGCATGTGATAGGCTAGAACACATTTAGTCTGTCTGGTTGGGGAGATGAGGAGAAGAGTTCAAGTGCTTGTGTTTTGCCATTCTTGCTCTGTACCAAGATAAGTACATGTCTGAAATCTCAAAGGAAAATGACTTTTGAAAATCATACAGTGCAGGAGTTTACAGGCTTTAAAATGTTTCAACATATCTGCTTCAGAGAATTTAAGGTTTCCCATGGTCTCCTGGAAACATGCTGTTGGAAAAATATTCATAGTAAATGTTGATGGTAATGGGTGAATGTTGCTTTTAATGAGGTTTCATTTATGACTTTCAGGTTTATTATGTTTACTGCTCTTTAGTGTTAAAACCTGTGAATCATAGGAAGTGAACATACCAATGCTTTGTGAAAACCCTGCTTCTAGAATGCACTTCTGTTGCCAATGCTTTTTCATTTCATTAAAGACAGCTCATAGAAGACTATGCAGACTGCCCAGCGGTTGCACTCAGGGGGTGGACTCCAGCAAAAAAATGTACCGAAGAAGCTTTTTGTATCAGCTCTTAACTGTTGTTTGTGGCTGCTTGAGCCTATATGAGACACAGTTATGCTTTTACAGTGATTCGTTTAAATGGAGAGCTGAGAGAGGATCAAAATTAAGCAAATCTTTGAGATACCTCATTGGATATATAACAGTCATGCTTTCAAAGATGGTAAATTATGTTGGCAGCATTTGGGTTATCCCCCAGGAGGAGATAGGTAGGTTTGATCCTACTTCAGGACCCTGATTAATTCTTCTAATTGGATCCTGAAATGATAAGTTCTACTAGCCAGATGTCCTGAAAGAAAAGTACCGAAGGACATTGTTTAACCCACCTTTTCTAACAGCTTCATGGCACGTCTGAAATCTTGCAGCCTGAAAGATCAAAGCAAAGCATTTGGAAGTACAAGAATTTCCTTAATATCCTTTACACTAGACCAGAAAATAGGCTTCATTTTTATACTGTTGTTGGACTCCCACATCCCAGTTTTCTTTAACTTTAAAACAGCTTAAAAACCATGTATAATGAAAAGATGTTCTCTTTGCCTTTGCTATCTATTTTAAAGGATCAGCAGGACTTTAAGGGTCTAAAATTCACTTTTTGATTTTCTTCCTTTGAAGGGAATTGGTACAGCTACTTTCTGAAGATTTTATATATCAGTGAGTTATTGATCTATTTTTATGTAGAATTCATAGACCTATTGGGAAGTACTGTGTTGCTGTGCATAAGACAGGAAAAGGTATCTTAACTTAGCAGAGAGAGTTTTCAGTGGTTTATGAAGAACCCAAGATTTTTTAATGATATATCTTTATTCTTAAAAAACTGCAGGTAAAAAAGGATTGTATAGTTTTGGCTGGGACATCTCTTTTCTTTAAGAAGGAAAGGAGAGAGGGGTCTGACTCTTATGTTTGCTTTGGCAGCTAAGTTTTTTCATGCAGTATTTTCTGGGTGACGTAATAAAGACTGTGGTATCACATCCACTGGTAGGTGTCATAGAGTTCTGGTTTTTTAAATGCTCTAGATGCATTTTTCATTAATTCTGTTTTCATTGCAAGGTTGAATGTTTGCAAATTGAACTTAGGTTTAAGCTGGTTATAGTCTTTTATTGATCTTGCACGTTGTGTTCTGTGCCTTTTGTTGTCTTCAAAATGTATTGGTCAACTTCCAGTCTGGATAAGAAAGCAAATCTTATTTCTGTTATTGGATTTCTCTGGAGCAATCCCCATTCCAGTTTTGTTAAAGCTAATCACTGAATTAAATGAGGAGTTTTGGAGAGATGGAGTCTAGTGCTATACTTCATTAATTTTGATTTGTTGCTGCTTTGCCATTGCAGATGGTAATTTCTAGAAAAATAATTTTCAGAATAAAGTTTTATTGTTATTAATAACAATGAACAGACCCTCATTAACATGAATGAAAAGACTGCTATTTTGGCTGTGTCCTGCTGGAGCCTGTGCCCATGACTGCCTAGCAGCTTTGGCACAGTAAGAAAGCCTCTCTTTAGTGCTGTATTCCACGCTTTGTGTTTCAGGCAGAGGAAAAGGCAGATGCTCTGAATAAGGAACTGCTAATGACCAAACAGAAGTTGATTGATGCAGAAGAAGAAAAGAGGCGCCTAGAAGAAGAATCGGCTCAGGTTAGGGGCATTTCTGTCATTTTCACATTTCTGTGCAGTACAGAAATTGG